GAAAACCATAAGCGGTACAGATCGATCACACTCCGCACGCGACATGCTCAGTAGCGAAGAGCGTGAGCTCCGACCTCTGGCACCGGCGCCTCGGCCCCATCAATTCAAGTGCTATGGAAATTTTGCGGCGCAACTCCGCCACAGGTGTGAAATATGACGGACCTGTATCCCCGTGCAACAACTGCCGCATCATGAAGCACAAGAAGGCTCCCGTCCCGGTGAAGACCAGCCGTGCCCTGACCAAACCAGGCCAACTTGTCCAGTTCGACACAATGGGACCAATCGACGCGCCTGCGAAGTACAACGGACGCACCTACTCCTATGTCGCCAAAGCGACCGACGTCTTCACCAGAATGCGGGAAGTGTACCTACTGCGCGACAGGACCGAAACCACGCAAGCTCTGCACGCCTACAACATGCAAGTAGCATCTGAAGGCTACCGCATCGAGGTTCTACGTTGTGACAAAGGCGGAGAGAACACTGGGGAAGAAATGCGCAACTACTGTAGGGAGTCTGCGATCAAGCTGGAATTCGCCGCGACCAACACGCCCCAAGAAATCGGAGTGTCAGAAAGGGATGGCCAGACACTTGCGGCTGTGACTCGAGCTCTACTGCGCGATGGAGACTTCCCAAAACACATGTGGGGGGAGCTCATGATGACTGCAGCATACCTGACCAACAGGACCCCACACGCGGCGCTAGGGGGAGCCACGCCGTATTCCAAGATGTACAACACAACCCCGGACCTTTCTCGACTTCGTGCCATCGGCGCCCGCGCGTTCGTTCATCACGAGCGATACAAGAAGAAGCTAGACGATCGGGCCTTTGAAGGCAAGCTCTGCGGTTACGGACCTGACAGCAAGACGTACCGGATCTACGTGGAGGGCAAAGACAAGGTCTACGAGAGCCGGAACGTGACTTTCATCGAGACTCCACCCAACACCATCCCCCCTCACCGGTGGGACGACCGTCTCGGATATGAACATGACGTGATGAACTTCACGTCATTGCTCGGACGCCGTACCTCTACGGGCGACGAAGACAACAAAGTGGACTACGGAACACAATCAGAGCTCCTGCTGCACAAGATGCGCAACATGCAGCAAGACAACATCAGCCGAGCAGAACTTCGCCAAAACAACGCGGGCATGGATTCCGACAACTACTTTGCTGCTGGGGGAGCTGACAGCAACAACAACCCGCGGACTACGACACCATCCAGGACATCGCAGGACACGACACTCGAATCACCCACGACGCCAACAGACACGGACTCCGCTTCGCCAGCCCCGATCCCAATGCGTCGATTAAACTCGACCCGTCCTGCCACGCGCACTCACCAACCCACAGATGACCCTATCGACCCTTCATGCATCCCGAAATCTCTGGAAGTGAACATGAACGACAGGGGCAGCTCTGCCATGGCTGTCAGCCACCCCGACCCACTGGAGCTCACCGAGGATCAACTACTCGATCTCACCCACCAAGCGCAGCAACGATGCCCTACTGACGCGGCGGATTTTGCTCACCTGGATGAAGACCCCTTCGCCGAAGTCCGGGCGTATGCTTACGCCACGGGCACCTCGAGCAAAGGGTTCTTGGGGGAGACAAACCAAGAGATCAAAACTCCGAGCACGTACACCGAAGCCATGAACTCACCACAACGCGAGCAGTGGAAGAGCGCTATCGACACCGGGATGGGAAATCTCGCCAAGCACAAAGTCTATAAGAAAGTACGCATCAGCCTGGTACCGAAGGATGAGGACATCGTCGACACACGCTTCGTGTTCAAGATCAAGGCCGACAGCCGCTTTAAGGCCCGCTTAGTCGCGGGGGGACACCGCCAACGGGCAGGACGACACTACGGAAGGAACTACGCTCCAGTAACCCGATTGGGCAGCATCCGCATCCTATTCGCCATCGCTTACGAACACGGATGGGAGGTGTACCAATTGGACGTGGTAGCTGCATTCCTGAACGCGTACACCGACAGAGACGTCTACGTCAGGCCGGCGCCAGGCGACGAGGAGAGGGACCCTACGACAGGTGCAATGATGGTCATCAAACTGGAGAAAAGTCTGTACGGCCTGTCACAGTCCCCGTCACTGTGGAACGACGCCATCAATGACAGACTCATCATCTTCGGCTGGCAGCGCACTCGCTCTGACCCCTGTGTCTACATCTTCGTAAGCGGGGACGAACTCACAATCCTCGCGATCTACGTCGATGACATCCTCATCACGGGCGGAAACAAGGAGATCGTAAGCAGGAAAAAGAAGGAACTCATGGACAGCTTCGAAATGACAGACATGGGAGAGGTCAAGCGCGTAATCGGCATCGAAGTGCAGCGGGACTACGAACATGGCACACTAGCCATATCGCAAGGACCCTACGCGAGAGATATCCTACAGCGATACGGAATGGAACAGGCAAACCCGGTCAGCACCCCCGGGTATGGAGCAGAACTATCAACCGAGCAGCCACAAGACCAACTACTCGGACCCGAGGACAAGCAGAGATTCCAGGCCATCACCGGGAGTCTCCTGTACCTTGCCCAATGCACCCGCTACGATCTGTCATACGCAGTGCACCAACTGACACGGGCATGCGCAAACCCAGCACAGGTCCACATGGCTGCGGCCAAGCACCTACTACGGTACCTACGCGGAACGCCGGACCTGCCGATCGTGTACAAGAAGGGGCAGTTCAGACTCTCGTGCTTCACTGACTCGTCATTTGGAGCCAACCCAGACAACGGCAGGTCTACCACCGGATACCTGTTCTTCCTAGGAGGGGGACTGATCAGCTACGGAGCCAAGGCACAGACTCTCGCAGCACAGAACACCGTGGAGGCCAAACTTCAAGCGCTGAGCTTCAGTGCTCGCGAGGCAGTCTACATCTCCAACTTCATGACGGAAATCGGATTCAAGACCTTTCGATCGGTACCCATCAACAGCGACAGCACCGGAGCATTGACTGTGGCCAGCAACGCGATGTTCAGCTCTAGAACCAAGCACATCGCGCTCCGGTTCTTCTTCCTCAGGGAACTCACGAAGGGGCACCGGATCACTCTTCACCACCAACCTAGTGCCACGATGTTGGCGGACATCGCGATGAAACATCTCCCGAAGCAGCGACTCGCCACCATGATGCAACTCATCAAGGACTACAAGTGCTAGAAGATATTAAGCACAAGATTGCAAAGTATGATTGAATGTTTTGAACGCGTGTATTGCTCACAGGATGGATTCACTCATGTGGAGGTCGATATTCTTTGATATGGATTGGGAATCGAGGGGTCGCAAAAATGGCAGCGAAGTGAAGTTTTTGGAACATCGGCCACTTGCCTAATCGAGGGGTCGTGTCGAGGAAAACTGTTACAACGTAGTCAGGCACAGTTTGCCATGGGTGCGGCTGCGGCAACTAGCCTTCCGTAGACATAATACAGAAAGAAGAGATGGTACTCAGCAGAGAACATGAGCACAGAGTTGTAGCGGAGATAATTTGGCAGGCGAGATTGTAGTTGTTCCTAACCCCGAAATTCCGGTACTGGGGTCATTACCCCGGAGATCCTCGGAACCTGCTGTGTTTTTGCTGCTTCTTGTTTGTTTTGTTTTGTTGTTGAAATGAGACACAAGCGCGCCTTCGCCCCTTGTGCTCACTCTCATCTAGCACCCATCAAAGCCTGACCAGGGAGTCGGTTGATAAGAACATCTATCTACATTTCTCTTTCCAACGCTCGCTCGGGCCTACCGATCTCACAGCAGTGTAGACCAACCTCTGTGATAGAGCGGTGACAGCAATGTAACCTCTGTGGTAGACTACAAAGTCTACGAGCTACAGCAGCACCGCCACCTCCGCTGCTGCAGGACGCCACATTTTGTGAGTACCTCCAAATATACCTAGGGTGCGTGCATGATGGGCGTTTATCTTTCGCTGTTGAGGGGCGCCTTTGAAGTTGCCTGCATAGTGCTCGCCTTCTTGCCACGGCAATAGATCATTTGATAGCTAGGTGCCTTTTGATTGGGCAGCACGGTCTACGGTTTCAAGGCAGCGGCGACGTTCGCTATCATAGTGCGTGCTGAGGTGAGAAGAGAACAATACAGTAGCGGCTACGGTTTAAGAGAGGGTTGGTACAAGCCAATTTTGCCCTCATAAATCGGTATTTCTGTTAAACCGTTTTGGCTACGCACTAAGAGAGTTGTTGTTGTTGTTGTTGTTGACTTCACATTAAACCGTATGCCAGTTGCTAAATGCCAAAATCTAGCAAAGACTCTC